TTATATTACTTTCTATATCAAGAGTCACTCAAAGTTGTGATACATGCCACCCAAACATACGTTAGATCCCACATTCAAGTACCAAAAAGTAATTGTTTTCGTACGCCTGACCACTCCTCGAAGTTTGTCCCATGATCATAGAATTACCCTGTATATCTTATCTCCTGGTTTTCAATAATGGAGGAAAATATTGTTTTTTCTTTGAAATATGGAGCATAAAAGAAGGAAAACCGCAAATGCAATAAAATATTTAGTGTATTGAAAAAACATTAACTAGACTTTAATGAGGTATATCATAAAACTTTCTAAGAGAGTACTTGAATAAAATTTTTTTAACTTTCTTATTTCACATTGTAAATTTTGCTATGTTTTTTTTAATTACTAAAACAGGGTGCGTAGCGTTCCTAAAAAGTGCTTATTTTCGATTTTCGTTCTTTAAAAGCCCTTAAAGAGCTTTTTTTACTGGGTGTTTTTAAAAAGTGCTTAATTTTTCCTTTTTCAAAACGAGATTCTTCCTTTACCATGTTGATTTTTGCTACGAATTACGCAAAATGACATAGTTCATATTGTTCTATTCAACGTTTTCTCAATTAATTCCACCTCAATCTATTTCGGCGTATTTTCAGTCCGTAGCGAATGAAAACGCCATTCGTTTTACATGATTAAAAATTTCATGATTTTTGACAAACGTCAAAAACAATGACAAAAGTTTTTTTTTGACATGACGATTAAAACAAGATAAAACTGTCAATTGTCAAAAACTTTCCAACCCTGTCTAATTATGATATTTTTTTAAAGTGCTTAAAAATATTTTTTGAGTGCTTGAAAAGTGCTTAAAAGGTGCTTATTTTTTGTTGAATAATTTGGCTACTCACCCTGTAAAAGGGTGAATAAAATTATATTAAATGTCTTGTATTGGACGCTGGTTCACAAGAGAATTTTGCTATGTTCTCTCAATTAAATATATTACACACTTTTTAAAACTTTATACTTATTCTTTACTAAATTAAAGATTTAAATTAGAAGTAAACTGATAAATAAAACCTTATATCTATTAAGAATGAATAAATGCTAAATAATTTTCTCTGAGGAATAATTTTTATTCAAAGTGAGTCTTTTTTATCTGTTTTTCAGGTACTCTTCATACATATTTGAAAAGAAAAAAAACTTTCAGTTTTTAGTCGATATACTAAAATTTTTGGTATCGACTAATTGAGATATCGGCGTAGTCGATATCTCGATTTTAGTCGATATCCATTTTTAAAAAACTAATTGCAAATTAAGAATTAATTCGTTGATATCCTTTTACAAAAACTAATTGCAAATTAAGAACACATTAAGTTTTTGCTAGTCACTTTTAATACAATAAAATTCTTAACTTAAAGCCTTTATTAATACTTAAGGATAGTTATGGAACTTAAAACTCATTTTTTTAAAACCTCTTTTGGTTAACGGACTAGTTAAACTTGTCATTAAATTCTTCTTCCGATGTTTAAGAATCCATGATTTAGAAACTATTTATTAATAATGAAGCACGTACGTATGAAAAAGAATTCTATTTATGTGAAATTAATGATAACTACAAAAATACTATATGAAATACTTTTTAACCCTATTTGAATTTGAAACGAAAATTTATTGCTTTTTGAAACGTTTTCACGAAACAAATTACTGTTTCCGCCAATTTCGGTGCGTTTTCCTTATTTGTTTTTCATCTTTCATTAATGAAGTACTATTTCAAGACGAAGATTCGCTTTCAAATGAAGCAACTTTTGATGAGAATCTTAGGAAGTTTCAAAACTTTCACCATCAAAGAAAGTATTTTTCTGGCTTTTTAGTTTTATATGCTTTAAATATTGTGTTTGTCTTCTGACATATAAGTATTTGAAAACTTTCTTGCAAAAGACAATATTTTAATATTTCAGTAGCTTTTAAGTTATTAAAATAGCTATGAAAATTTAACTAGTTAATTAGTTTAAATCTAGAAAAAAAATTTTCGACCCTGAAACCACTCAGTTTCTAAACTTCTGTACAACTATTTATCAAGTCTTATCTAACTGAAGTATGCCGTCACTTTCCTATAACGGAAAACCTCTATACGGTTTCTTAAAGATAGTCCGATCAGACCACTATGTATGTAAACCAGTTTACACATCTGAGCCGTAGTGGCTCAGAGGGCAAAGAGTTCTCGCCTATCAGAGAGGTAACCCTGGTTTGAATCCCAGTGATAGCTTGTCGATGCAAAGCCAGCGTCTAGCTCGCATTGATCACCGTACAAATACTCACGTACTCCAAATAACTCGAGTAATCCTCTTTGGTAGTGGATGATGGATTAGAGCAACACCTCCTAGAAGAAAGAAGGCCTCAGCACGGATAAATTTAGTATACCGACGTGATGAATATAAACTGAGCAGTGGATAAAAAGTAAGAAAGCTGTCACTACGTTCGGACTACTAAGCTGTGCAGTGTTCACCACTGCACAGCTTAGTAGTCCGAAATATGAAAGCCGAATATGAAAGATGTCATTAAGCCGAAATATGAAAGTTGTCATTAAGTTTGGACTACTAAAGGATAAAATTTCTTGTTTATGGTAACCCGTGCTGAGGCCTTCTCTTTTCTAGGAGGTATTGGCTAGAGCCCCCTTGCCGTCAGGCTAACTGCGGGAAGTTTAGGTGGTTTTCCTCTTCATGTAAAACAAATGTTCAATCAAAAAGTCCTCCACGAAAGCAAATTTCTTCAAAACTTGATCCAGGAGTTCCCTATTCATCTGGTTTGGGTTAAAATTACCCGGTTACGGATAGCTACGTTAGTAGTCGTAAAGTCAAAATTGGGTCGACTGTTCAACGACGGTTATAAATTAAAATAAAATAGCTAATATTTAGTAAAAACAGGAAGGTAGAAAATATACCAGGAGTAAAAAAAATTAAATAATTTCAAATATCTCGAGAAATATACGTTTGATCGAAAAGTGAAACCTCGACAGTATTTCAACCCCAACCCCTGGGGATGGTTGCTGGCAAATTTGAAATCTTAAATATAAACCTCTTTTTTTATTACAGATTTGGATTATCCAATCTTTTAAGATTTCAAAGTTGCTCTCTTCCCCCAAGGGTGAAAGATCGAGTTTATTGCCATTGAATAGCTCAGAAAAAATGTTGTGCCCAGTTTCATTTTTCGATTCTATATATATTTCTAAAAATATCTGACAGTTTCCAAACTTTTCACATCCCGTATGTCTTAAAACATATTTAATGAAAAAATATTATTGGTTTTTCGTACTTCCTTGTTTTCCACCAATTAATAATTCCACCAATTAATAATGTATGAATATTAGAGTAAGAAATTTTTTCAGTTATTTTAATAATAGAAGCTCTGTTACTTTATGTTCGAATTTAAAGAAACCCATGAAGGGATAATAAATATTGTTTCTTGCAAACGATTTTCTTCTACAACGAAACATAAGTCTAAATTCATTTCCTCACATTTGATTTGTTAAGGGCATAAAATGCGCCATTTTTAGTAGTTCAATAAAATTCAATGATTTTACTACCTCATATAGTTGTTTCTTTTTTAGGATCGAATATTCTTCTAAATAATCGAAATGTGTCGCCAAGTCTACGATTTCAGTAAGACTAAGAAAATTTAACCTTTTTTAATAATTCTATGATATATATCTTAAAAGATAGCACAAATTAAATTTCTGTCTGACGTGTTTCACTTTCCAAAACTTTTATACTTTTTTGAAATTACATTTATGTAATCTGATAACGAAATAAAACGGAACTATATTCAGTTGCGGATGACTACTGAAATCCTACACCGAAATGGTCTTTTTTCTTAACTTGCAATAGAGTATAGTTTCCTTTTTAAATAGCCTACGGAGATGATTTGAAAAAATCGTATATGGGCTTTCTAGTGTAAGAAACAATGACAGTATGCGTATAATTGTGCTCGAGTTTCAATCAGAAGTCTAGTTAGAATTTACTCCCCTATGGCGGCTCAGCGGTTGAGCATTCAACTTTTAAAACTAATCATCGATCGTTGAAAAGCCTCGTTCGTTAATGGTCTTAAATTTCGTTTCGTTTAATGACCTATAATCACCATTTTAAATGATGAAAGGATTTCGGTAATTATGTTCGTACTAATAGCGAGCTGAATGATATCTACTAATTATTTCCCTTTTGCGAAAAATAGTGTGAATTCATTCTTTATTGAACACGATCGCTTGTCTAGATAATTTTTAACATCAGTAACTGACTAACAAAGTCTTTGAGGAATTTTGCTAAAAGTATGCCTTAGATGTGCAGAACAAGCCTTTCTTTCATTACGAAAAATATTTTCAAAAATTGAATGAAATTGGAATAATTTTTTTCTAAAAATGCACAAGATGTTAAAACAGCACTGGAAACGAGAGAAGATTTATTCAAAAATTTCTAAATCTACAAGTGTTAAATGTAACAAAGAAATTGATCATGTCTGTTGGAATCCAAACAAAAAATTGCTTTCACGCTGCAAGCATTTGCAGTATTGGTACTTTAACAGAAACTATAATTTTTCAATGTCTTTTAGCACTAAGTTCCAGAGAGATTGTGTTTTGCAATTGCCTACAGTATCACTTCTTATTCAGATTTAAGTACTGTTCATTTTAGATTAGTGACATATCTTTTGCATCAAATATGAATACATGAAAATAGTGTTATTCAGACGTATGAAATTTTTATGCCATATATCACTACAGCATATAAAAAGTTAGTGTTCCAAAACTGCTTCGCATTGTTGTGGCAAGGGCTGTGGAGTGTGAAATAAGACTCCGACTCCCGGTATTTCAAACTAAGACTCTGCCTCCTTCATATACAGGGTGCCCAGGATTATTAGGACAAACTTTAGTAGGGGCAATAGAGGACATCACAAGGATTCAGAATTGCATAGTAACGCATGGTCGGAAACGTCTTCGTTAACCGCTAGTTGTTTTGTTCATCAAAGCGTTGAAGGAAACAAACCAGCATTGCCGCAGTCATTTAAATGACCATAGATCTGCCAAACTCGAGGACAATCTTTCTGCTGCTTGTGTCTCGGTCCCTCTGTCAATCCGTACATCAATGATCATATCAGTCAGCTCGGTATGCGTAAAACCCTGTATACTCCTCTGCAGACGAAGACAGCGGCAATGCAGGCCTATTTCCACCCAGGCTCTAGTGAACAACACCACCTAGCGGCAGACGAAGAAGTTTCCGACCACTGGTTGTTATGCAAATCTGAATCCTTCAGATGTCCCCTACCTCCTCTTAAAATTTATTCCAATAATTCCGGGAGAGCTGTGGTGGCTCAGGTGATAGAGCATTCGCTTTCCAATGAGGTGAGCCGGGCTCGAATCCCAGTGATGGCTGGTCGATGCGAATTCCGTATCCTGCTTGCACTGACCACAGTGCTGACGTGAAATATTCTCAGTGATAGACGGATCATGGGTTAGAGTCCCTTTGCCGTCAGGCTAACCGTGACAGGTTCTCGTGGTTTTCCTCTCCATGTAACGCAAATGTGGGTTAGTTCCATTAAAAAGTCCTCCTCGAAGGAAAATTTCTCCCAATACTTGATCCAGAAGTTCCCTTGTCTTCTGGATTGAGCTCAAATTTACAAGACTACGGAGTTGATTATTAGTAGTCGTAAACCTAAATTTGGGTCGATTGTTCAACGACGGTTATAAAATAAAATAATACCTTGCATATGAAAACATGCATGCATGACTAACAGCTTATTTTTATTAATATGAAAGAAGTAATTGATACTGCAGAAGGATTGATTGCACAGCAAACTATTTATATTAATTAACATTTATTATGAAATGAGAAACTGGGAATAATAATTTCTAAGAAACAGTATGGTTTTGGCAGTCTTATTTAATTAAGGACCGTCGATACGATTCTATAAATTTCACAGCTGAGGATAGTCTTTTTGAAGAATCTTGAGTAGCTGTTATTGTTTGGGTTAGGGGCCGTTCAAAAAGTACGTACACAAACACGAAGAAATTTTAACCCCCTCCCCCCCTTTCGTACATTACCGTACATAAGGTCTTACTCCCCTCCCCTTAGAGTACGTACATTTTATTAGTCCACCCCCCTTTTTCATAAAAATTAAAATAATTATGTTTTAAATAAAATTAAATATTTATTTAAAATTTATTCATTTAAATTATTTAAACAATAAAACCCAACGGGGAAATACCACCAATCGGGGAAAGTTTGGTGTTTGCAATTTTTTTATTTTGCGAGACAACTTTTTCTGAGAACCGATTTACTCATTCTAACAAGTGGTCACCGTGGGAAAAAAATACAAGAGCAAACATATGTATAATACATGTGTAGGAAAAAGTCAAATTTAAATTTGGTGTATGCTTATAATGTACGAACTTTTGTATAAAACCTGCCCCCCTTCCCATCGTACAAAACCGTACAAAATAGCAAATCCCCTCCCCCCGTCGGGATGTACGTACTTTTTGAACGGCCCCTTACTACTTTTAACTTTTCAGGATAAATTTTTATAAATTATAAGTGTCTTGCAAGACATCATATTTCTTCAAGTGCTGTCTAAAAATCTTGTTTTTTCTAAACTTTTATTTCTGAAATTTTTTGTTTCTTTATTTTCATTCTCTTTGCCCTATTCTTTTCAATATTATCCAAATATTTATCTTTAATTCATCATTGGAAGAGGATGCTAGAACCAGTTTCCAACGTCTGCAGCCCGACTACTTCAACTATACTGAGAATAATTTTTCTTGCTGAAAATTCATACATGGCTTTCTTTTTACTTTTAATTTGTTCTTTATACACGAAATTCGGCAGTTAGATTTTTTATTTTTTTATATATNTATTCGATTCAAGCTATAAGCACCACTTCAAATATTTACCTCTTCGCTAATTTCACTAAGTGTTTACTTATTATACTTTTAAACCTAAAACAGCATTTTGCTGATATACATATATACTGAAGAGTTATTACAATATGCCTCCATCTATAACAATGCGCTCCCCCAGGTTTTCATGGTTTCTCGCCCAGGAACAATGTTTTCATGGGGCACATTAGGACCCATAATCCTCTTAGAACAATCCCTGACGTCTGTAAGCTACTTGAACATAGTTGCAGACCAGATTCAGCCATTCATGGCAACAGTTTTTAATGCAGGGCATGGTGTTCACCAACAGGATAATGCACCATGTCATAAGGGCCGAATCGTCATGGATTGGTTCGAGGAACATTCCAGTGACTTTCAAGTCATGTCTTGGCCCCAAATTCACCTGACCTTTATCCAATAGAGCAATTGTGGTCCTACTTCGAAAACCAAATTCGTGATGCCACGCTACCCCCTCGCAATGTGAGGGAATTGTAGGACCAGTTGGTGAGCGCTTGGTACCAGATACCTCAGATTACCTATCAGCACCTTGTGGAATCAATGCCATGGCGGGTGCTAGCAGTTTAGCGAGCTAAAGGTGGTCCTACATGTTATTAGCAGGGTGGTCGTAATGTAATGGCTCTTCGGTGTGTATATATATATATATAACGCAGCAAGATTTTCTAGCAAACTACCAGTTTCTTTTTTCTTCATTTACTTATTACTATGCCAATAAAATAAAAAATAGCTAAAGATTTATAACCGTATATAGTACATAATTAAAAATAGCTCAGTTTGTAATTGTTTTTTTTTTAAGATTCACTTTAATTTAATTTCTAATTTAAACTGTTACACAAAAACGAGTTGGAGTTGAAAGATGTTTAGTGACTCCGACTCCTTTACTCACAAATTTGCTCAACTACAATTCTGATTCTATGATTCCGAGCAGTCAGTTAAACCTCTTCATTTATTAAATAATTCTTAATTTTCATAAACAGATCTCTTAATCATAAAATAAAATGGTTGCGTAGCAATTGTGGGGAGTTGATGTGTGAACTGAGCAGGAGCAAAATGATAATTATCTAATTTTCCCGCGTGCGACGTGAAATTGCACGCAAATTCTACATAGCATGACTTCATTAAATGATGCGCAATTTAGGTCTGTAAGCAAAACTAAATTAATGATTCTAAACTCAACATGCTGATATTAATATTTAAAATAAACGTTTGTAAATTAAAGCATAATTCCGGACCTAGCTTCGTTTAGCAGCAATTAAATTTCATCTGCGTGTCAAGGTTGGATCGCGGGAAAAATTGACAGCCGGAAATGAGATGGCTTTTGTGATGCGAGGAAGAGGGCAAATAATTGTATAAATAAATAAAGGGAAATTTTTAGGGAAGAAAAAGGGAAAAACTGTTCAAATTTTTCAAAAGTGAAAATTTTTAAAATTTTTTTTAAAATTTTAATTTGTAAAAGAAAAAAAAGAATATTAAAAAATCGCCAAATGTTATACGTTGGCGCTAGATAACTTATGTTTAGCTTCGTATTATTCAATTATTTCCTATTCTATTTATTCATCACGAATTATATTTTTCTCTTTTATTTGTTTTTCTGTTTTAATTGATTTATTATAATTTTTTTGGACACATTTCTTATTTTTTTTTGTTTTTATTTATTTGCTGCATTTATGCCTTTCGTTATTATGTTAAAAATTTAGTTAGGACATTATATATTTTTAAATCATCTAGGGCGGATGAATTTGCCTGTGGATATTGTTATAAAATTGTTGCCCACTACTTTCTTATGTAATTTGTTTATACAATCTTATGTAAATTTAAGTATTTAATTATATAATTTTTATGCTTAATCAATTTTTTTAAAAATGTTTTATTAAATCATTTTTTTTTAAATTTTGTTCTTTGACGAAAAACTGTAGTGACACATTATTTATTGGATTAAAGGAACTAAATAAATTGAAATGAATATTTTTTACAGTGAAATTACATTGTATTGAACTTGGGGCAATACTCCGCCGTGTAAAAAAAAATATTTTTCAAGGAATAACAAAATTTAAATTAGTTTTAGCTTAGCATTTTGAATTTTAAGCATTTTCCACACCACTACTTATAAAAATTTTGAAGTATGATATGAACTGCAACATGGTGCCATAATAGGCATTACGTTTTTATTAGCTGTTGAAATTTCGTTAATTTCATAAATTTAACTTATTTAATTAAACTAATTATTTTGTTTTTATTGCATTTTATAAAAAACAACTGCAAATATTTTATTCTCTTCTTAACAATCAATACAACGGCTAACCTTTCAATTCAATACAAATACATAACTCATTAATTTATAACCGAACATCAAAATCTATTTTTAACTCTTTATTCCTTAAGCTGCTTTATTTCTTTCGCCACAAAAATGTTTCAGTAACGGAGTTATATTAATATCTCACGTTTTTCTTTGTTGGTGTTTCAGCTTTAGCCAAATTACTTAAATATTAGTATAAAATATCGCAAGGTATGCTGAATACACTTTTTTTTTGTTTTTTTTTTGGGGGGGGCAGTGTCTTTTTTTGATAATGCGCCTGTAATGAATCTTTCCAGCACTCAAAAGCGTTGCTTTAAAAACAACCAGCCCTTATTGATATTATTTATCACGCAAAATTTATTACTTCATTTAGAAAGTCATTTATAGAGAATTTTCTTCCAAATTTGTATTTCGAGTTTTACGACTGTCTGTTACTGAATAAAAATTTTATTATAATTATGATCGAGTTTTCAAATTCAACCGTCATTTTCACTGTCTAATTTTCACCATATACTTCAATTATACCATTCGCATCTCCAACGCACTAAATTTGCCATCATATGCAACTTTATTGCATTCCCCTTATAAAGTGTGTGCGTAATTATCCTTATTCTACCAGGGTGCATAGCGTTTTTAAAAAGTGCTTAAAGGTGCTTATTACAGATTTTCGATTTTTAAAAGCCTTTAAAGGTGCTTTATGCATTGAGTGTTTTCTATTCAACGTTTTAACAATTAATTCAACCACAATCTGTTTCGGCATACCGTTGGTCCATAGCGCATGAAAACTCCATTCGTTTTAGATGATTCGAAATTTTATTATTTTTGACAATTTTATAACCGTCGTTGAACAGTCTACCCAATTTTGGGTTTACGACTACTAATGTTCAACTCCGCAGC